ACAAATGAAAATGATTTCATCAATTTATTTTCTCTTTCTTCTTTGTTTCTTCTGATTTTCTTCTTCTTAATTTTAGAAGGAACAAAAAAGAAGATAGAGAGAAAGGTCGTTGGAATCTTGACTGGAAAAGGGTTGGATTAGCCTTAACAATGTCAAATCTAATCAGTTACATTTCATCTGACAAAGTTAGAGTTACTGTTTAACTCCAGCTTTCGATATAGGTAATGGAATGGCCATATGCCGTCTCTTGGTTATTGGAAAAAAAAGGGGTCCAAGAAGGAATAGGGAAAAAAAACAAAACCAAGTTATAACAAGGTGTTGATTTTGGGGCTATTTTTTTAATTTCACTTTTTTAAGTACATATATTTAAATTAACTTCAAAATTCTATGTATTAAAATTTTTAAAAGTTACCTGTCATACCATATGAGATTTTTTGTTAATTTAGATGGTTCAGCAAATGGAATGATTACATTGGTACACGTTTGGATAATTAAAAATTCAATTAAAATTTTTTAAAATTTATGAACCAAAATAAAATTTGACCTAAAGTTTAAGAACTATATATACTATTTACTCTATATAATAATATATAACCCTTGATAGTTTATGGATTCTATCTATATGTTTTATGTAAATAAACTTAAAACTTACTATATATTACCTTTTAAAAATAATTGTATGAATCAATTAGATTGAGTTTTGTATTCAATTTTTTATTTCATTTTTATGTTCATATTCAATTTTGTGTGACGTTATCTTTTAAAATCATTATAAATTATTGATGATACATTTAGTTTATATGTTTATGAGTCAGATTTGGAACGAATTTAAACAATATATTAATAAGTTTTAGACTTATTAAAATTAAAATAAATTGTCCAAACTTGCCAAGACTTTAATTTTTTAAATAAAAATTAAAATAAAATCTATAATAAATATTAACTATGATAAAATAAATAATAAACAAACTAAAATCTAAAAAATGACTTTGATAATTTAATTTGATATTTGGATTGGACTAAATACATGTAGACATAAGATATTAATGTGGATACATATATTATTTAATTATTTATTTATTTTTATATAACATAATTATCAATATAAAAAATATATAAATAACTATCAAGTCAAATTAAGTTTAAACCTTAAATAATATATTCAAGGATTGATTATTTTGTAAATGAATGTTTAATTTAAGCTCAAACCCATTCAAATAGATGGTTCAATCCTTGAATAAATATAATTTGATTATTAAGAAAATTAATTAATATTAATGAAAGTATATTATTTTTGACGTTTTTAGACATGCATTTAAAAAATGAACAGTACGTAACTCAATCTCGTATTGCTAAGACATTTTCAAAATTCCTTTGTAAAAATATTTTCAAGAAGCAAATTCAACAATCCTCGATATAATAAATTACACAAGTGAATTTTTCTTAGATCTTATACTTTATCATGTTTGGTGAGACTAAACCATGTGTTCAAAGTTTTGAACCATTTCAAAAACATATCTAATTCCAAGAAAAAATGATATACAATGAGGTAAATTTCAAAATTTTTAAATTTCATATTTTATAGCTAATTTTTTTTGTGTAAAATAATAATAAAATTTCAAATCTTTGAATCTATTATTTTTGTAATTACATATTTGTCTAGTTCTATATTTTTCTTCTAAAAGTATTGCGGGACCGAAATTAATGCAACGGCATCTTTTGTTGCCATAACGTTGTAGCGTGGTAGCAATGGGAATTTCGAAAATGCAATCTATTTTCTTTTTATTTTACCATACTTTTATTTTGGACAGAGATGTAACATTGGTCACGAACTCACAATTACTAGATGGTAGGTTTGTAATAAATATAAAAAAAAAATAATGTGTTCCTTTTGCCGAATTCACCGAATAAATAAATGTAAAACCATATCAAGTGCATTCTAAAAATTCATTCTAGCAAGCAATAGCCACGGCCTCTTGTTTTAAAGAAAAAAATTTTTTTTTCCATATAATGTGATACTAAAATTTAATAGATTTGATTTTCATTGCTCTCATGGATAATATTAAATTGAATAATCTACGACGAATCAACTTAAAAGGGCAATTAGCAACATTAGGAATTTATTACATTGTTGAGTTTGCAACTTAATTTTAACGCATATTCACTCAAAAAGCTACTTGCATGATATACCAAATTAGAGTGTGAATTAGTATTTAATTTAATCGGTTAATGAAAATATTTTTAAAAGATATTATTTAATAAATTTAAAATTTTAATTTCAATATAAATATTTTTAAAAAATTAATAATTATGTTATTTATTAATAAAATAATTAAAATTTTAATTTTAATAATCAAAATTTAATTTCTAATATTTTGATATAAAATTAAACTATTTAAAATTATCATATTAGATAATATATTTTTCCAATGTATCAAAATTTATCATACTAATTATCAACTATTTGATTAATATAAAATTCAATTATAAATAATAACTTAATAAACTTTGCTCTAAACATATTTGTTAGCGAAACAAAATATATATATATATGCATATTATTATGATTCCTTAAACTATATCAATAAAATAGCAACAATCTTACAAAAAAAAAAAAAAACTTTAAATTCATGTTATCTCACTCATTATCCGAACAAAACAATGATTTTAGGTGTATACCAAATTAAAAAAATCAATATCGAATAATGCTTAATTGACATATAGTTTGTTAAAAATTATTTATATTTTTTGTCTAAAATTTTAATGTTTGATAATCACTTTAAATTTCGATTTTTAAATTTATTTTTTTATTTATAAAATTTGAAATCAAATTTTTATTTAAAAAATTAATTTTTACTGCTTAAATCAACAAACGTCGGTAAAAATTATGTTTATTTTTCAAATACAAAGGATTAAACTTAATTTAATTTGTATATTATGGATATGTTGTTGAAAATTTATAATTTCTTAAAGAAAAGGACGGAGAAAAAAATGGTAAATACAAACAAAGCCACCACCAACCCAAAGCAGCACAGCGGACACACCACGTTGTAAACATAAAAAAGCGAAAGTCCCCACGTGTCAGCTCACCGAGTTGATAGATCTACGAAACCTCTGTAAGCCCAAGTGTGAGACTCGCATTTTCCTGCCCAAACGCAAACTCGGAAGCTGTGACTCAGCGCCGTCCCCCGATTCTTCCTCGTCTCACCCATCAAGCTCAATGATTCACCGTAAGATCATCTATAATTTCAACTTATCACCGTCAAATTTGAAGTTTTTTTTTGTTGGCTTAAATTTTATCAGTTTGACTTAGGGTTTCGATTGATTTGGATTTTTGTTTGGTTGCTGAGATAAGTAAAGAACTTATAAATGAAGTAATCAATTGATTATTGACAAGTGTTAGGCTTGAATTTTTTGGATGGTTTTAAATTTTAATTGCTACTAAGTATTAACAGAGTAGCGAGGTACGAAATAATGACGTTCAAATTTTCTCAGCAACCAAACGGAAAATAAAACACTCATGATGCTCATATATTTATAACTTTCTAATTAAAATTAGCAATTCAATCTTTTGCAGCACTTGTTTTATCAGCAGGAAATTGGATTAATCTTATCCGGGCGCAAGAAATTTAGGTTACTTGCTTTGGGTCATGATAAATAGTAGTACTAATCAAGCATTTGATGACTATAATTCTTTTGTTTTGTTGTGATCGCCTTTACAATTTGCTGATTAATGGGGTTAATGCTGGGTAATTTCTTACCTATAATTTCATAGTATAACCAGACTATTGCAAGGATTATATGGTCCAATTATAGCTGTGAATACAGCTTTTGTTTATTTGAAAATGCATTTTTGTTCTGGTTTTGGACTATAAGTTTGGGACCAATGAATTTTAGCTGCAAGGGAATTAGAATGTGGGGGTGTCTCTTATTTGGTTTTTGTAGCAAGGGTTTTTGTTAATTTAAGTTTATATTTGAAAATATCTCCCATGTGGTTTTTTATTTATCTATGCCGCCCATGTCATCATTATTGTTATTTGTGTCTACATCATCATAACATCGGTGCCTCAACAGGCAAGCATTCTGAATTGCTATTCCATTGTTGCTGCTGCTATTTCTAACTCCTGAGCTGGCAAATATGTATAAGAGTATGTCTTGGTTGAGACTTGAGATTGAGGAAATATAGAGATATTCACATGTTATTTTGCATAAAATCATGTTAAAGCAATTATTTGATAAATCTTGCAATGACCAGTTCTGTTCTGCTTTTCACATCATTGGGTGAATATTATGCAACAAACTGATCAGGATATTCTGTTTTCTTCTTCCGCTCATTGTCTTATGCTGGTCTCCTAGGTGTCGGTGCATGGACATCATTGTTAAGTTTCTTCAGAAATTAGTTCTTTATTATTTGCTCACAGTTCTTTTGGTTTAAATTGCTGAAGCTTGTCTGGGAATCTAATTGTCTTGTTTGGGTGAAAGAAGCTCTTACAACTTTAATCTTATGGAAAGGCATTCTACTTTCTTGAAATTTTCTTATTGTTATGGTCCTTGCATTTTATCTGGATGCTTATAATATGCTATGGTGAGGCTAGTTTGTTATGCTTATCAGCTTTTTGCACAAGTTTAAGGTTACATTTTCTTTTTGTGGTGAAGGGATGCTGTAGGGTTAGCTATAGTGGTTAAACTATGCCAAAGAGGGGAAGCTTGTTCTGTAAGCAGATAATCCATGGGCTTCTTGGAGCTTCCAAGTCTTTTTCTTGATTATAATTTGATAGGGAAGCCAATGTGGCTAATTCTTTGGCATCAACAACATGAAGAACAGTGGTGTTGTTTAAGTTGAAGGTATGACTTACATTTTTAAAATTTTTCCTCCCTAGTTGCTATTCTATGTTTGATTGCAGTACAATGTGATGAAATGGGCAGCTGTTTCCTTGCCATGCCAGCTTCTATCATTGTAACAGCAGCTTCATTCCTTGCTGTTCCAGCTTCCATCATTGTAACAGCAGCACATTTCATCACATACACCACATATACTGAAGTTATTCTTATTCAGTTTAAGCTCTTTTTTATTGCATCTATGTTATTTGTAGCTCGAAAATAGACCATTGAGTTTAACATTGGACCACATAACAGAAATTACATTTAACCTTACTTCTGGCCTAGCCCAAAAAGAAAGTAACTCTAACTATCTTCTCTTCTACCAAACCCTTGTTGACTCTCTTTACTGGGATCCACATCTTTTGCGTTCATTGTAAAAGTCCAATGTGTGACTGAAAATTAGCATTTATTAAGGAAATGCTACTCTTCTCGGAGTTGACATTGCTCATTTGAATGGGTCCAGTCTCCAAGTTTATGTTGTTAGATTTTTTAATTAGGCTTCATGTTTAGCCCAAGCAGAATGGTAATATATAGTTGATTTTCTTGGAAAGCTTTATCTGACACTCTTATTATGTTTTTGTCAATGTATTATTGTATTAGTAATTAGGCTTTGTGCTTCTTGTGATGTTTATTATCCTTCCAGTTTCTGTATATGTATGATATTAGATCTTTGGACAGTTTTATTGCTTTTTATGTTTGTTTTCTTACAAATTTTTTCTGGAATAAACTATATTGTATTGTACTTTTGATTTCTATGATGCTTAATACAGGATTGTCTATACAGGATTGTCTATGTTGTTGACCTTAATTTTATTAATTAATGTTACCTTCTTGGGGTGTTGCAGAGTTTGAATGTTCCTTTCATTTTGTTTTCCAGATGGAAGAAGTTTGCCTCAATAGCGAGCCAGTAATTTGATGAGATCGATGAGTATGAAGGGTGAGGGAGACTGCAGTGCGGTGGAACATGATGAATCTGGTGCAAAAATTCGAAGAAAGAACCGCCTCCACCTACTGTTGGTTTGGAGTTTGATTCTTTTGATGAAGCTTATGAACTTCTACAATATGTATGCTAAGGAGCAGGGTTTGGCATCAGAGTTAGCATTCATTGTTTAGATCCAAAAGGAAGGAGCGGTATAGAGCAAAACTTAGCTGTAGTAGTGCAGGTTTTAAGAAAAAGAGCGAAGCCAACAATCCAAGACGCAGAAACAAGAACTGGTTGTCCCGCTATGGTAGTCATTAGGCTTCTGGACTGTAAAAGGTGGAGAATAGTTGAAGTTCAGCTTGAACACAACCACCAGGTGAGTCCACAGATCAAAAGATTTTACAAGTCTCATAAGAAAATGATTCTTGCAGCCAGAAAGGCACAACCACCACCAGAGCCTGTTACAGAAATACATACTATCAAGTTGTATAGAACAGCTGCCATGGATGCTGGGTTTAACGGATTCTCAAATATTCTGAAAGAGAGGGTATTCATCCAGCTGATCACTCTAAACATTTGGAACTTAAAGAGGGAGATGCTTATGCTGTTTATAATTACTTCTGTCGCATGAAGTTGACTAATCCAAACTTCTTTTACTTGATGGATCTTGATGACAATGGTTGTTTGAAAGAATGTCTTTGGGCAGATGCTAGGTCCAGGGCTGCTTATGGTTACTTTTGTGACACCATCGCAATTGATACAAACATGCTTGGCAACAATATGAAATTCCTTTGATTTCTTTTTGTTGGAGTGAACCATCATGGACAATCGTGTTGTTTGGGATGTGGCTTCCTTGGACATGAGTCAGTAGAGTACTTTGTCGGATCTTTAGAGCATGGCTTAAATGCATGCTAGGGCAACTCACCGCAAGTTATTGTTACAGATCAGTGCAAATCTTTGCAAATTGGCTGTCTCTGAGGTTTTCCTAAGGCCCGTCATTGTTTTTTGGTATGTGGTATATCATGCAGAGAGTTCCAGAGAAGTTGGGGGGATTGAAAGGATTTGAAGCAATCAAAAAGACAGTTGAATAAAGCTGTCTATAACTCCCTGAAGATTGTCGAGTTTGAAACTTCTTGGGCTGAAATGATCAAGCAGCATGGACTTGGGGATAACAAATGGGTCCAGACATTGTACGAAGACAGAAAACAAATGGGTTCCAGTTTATTTAAAGGATACATTTTTTGCTGGAATGATCCCTATCCAAGAAAATGAGAGCTTGACTGCATTTTTTGATGGTTATGTACATAAGCATACATCTTTCAAGGAATTTGTTGATAAGTACGATTTAGCTCTTCACAGGAAGCACCTGAAAGAAGCCACAGCCAATATGCAGTCGAGAAACTCATGCTTTGAATTGAAAACAAGATGTAATTTTGAGATGCAGCTCTCTAAAGTGTATACGAAAGAAATCTTTAATAAGTTTCAATCCGAAGTTGAGGGGATGTACTCTTGCTTCAATACAAGGCAGGTGAGCGTGAATGGGCCAATAATAACATACATTGTTAAAAGAAAGAATCGAAATTGAAGGAAATGAGAAGGACGTTAGGAGTTATGAAGTTTTATTCGAGACTAGTCAGGTGGATATCCGATGCATATGCAGTTTGTTCAACTACAAAGGTTATTTATGCAGGCATGCCTTAAATGTTCTTAATTATAATGGTGTGGAAGAAATTCCCCTCACGCTATATACTGCCTCGATGGTGTAAAGATTTCAAGGGCAGGCATGTTGATCAAGGTGGCTCCACTGACATTGATGTGTATAACACAGTTTATTGGCATAATCACTTGCATAAGTGTGCAGTTCCAGTTGTAGAAGAAGGAGCACAATCTCAGAACACTATAAGATTGCACTGAATGAATTGCAGGAATTATTGAACAGATTTAATCTTGTAGAGGACAGCTTAGTGTAACAAAGTGTATCAAAAACCCGAAACGTATGTTTGAATTAGCAAGAAATACAAGGTTTTGTTGTAATTACGAATTGGATGCATTCAAATTGCAAGTTAAATAACTCAATGATGCCCTCTGACTGATTTTTCCCTAAGATGCAGTTTGATTAGGAAGAGCACTCTCGCATGGAAATGAATGTTAAAACCTCATTTGAACGTTTGGAAAACCTCCTGAGACTACTTTTACGGCACATTAACAGTTATGAAACGCTTTTGGAATACGTAATTGGAAAATAGTTTATGGCTTTGTATCTTTAGTTATATGCTGGAGCATGAATTTCCTCATGTCAGTCTCATTCTAGAAATATGGAATTTTCATTATGAATTTGATCATGTCTACGTTCTTACAATCTAGAGGTCTCGGTGTGGAATGCTGTTTGTATAACTAAAACAACTTTATAGCATACAAAATTAGAGTAACTGAGTGCTAAACTCTTAGATTTAATGATCAAAGTTCAAATTTTGACAATTTCAAATAATAAATTCAAGTAACAGAAAAAAAAAAAAAGAAGAAGCAGCAATGAAGATAACAAGAAGACTTTTCACCAAAAATTATAGTCTTGGATAAATTGAGTAATCAATCAAGCCATGTCTTCAAAGACAAATACCAACCAGTTTCAAGTTCCATGAAGAACCACGGTTACACAACTGCAGCACCAAAGTTCTAGCTCTTCACATTGAAAAATTGAATAAATAAAAAGTAAATACAACTCACTGCGGAGGAAGTTGAAACAGAAACATCCCACATATACTCCCAAGCAGAGACTAAAAACAAGCAAACAAACTCAGAAACAAATCTAAAGGGGGCATGAGGCTGCGGAATTTGTTTGAATCTCAAAGTGTTGACCTCATTTTAGGCAGGAAGGTAGCGTGATCCCATGGCAAACAAAAGCAAGCACAACATAAACAATAATTAGGAGGAGGATTATCAGAGCAACCCTGCAATGTGCAAAGCAAGTCAATGAGTGCTAAATTCATCTGTCCTGGTATCTCTTCTATTTTATGGAGCAAATGTGCACAAAAAGCTGACTGTTATTGGGAAACTATGCTCTTCTTTAGTAAATTTCACTTCTAAACTTAATGCAGTGCATGTGCATGTAAACATACAAACTCGGGTTAAAGTTCAGAAAGCATACATCAGCTTGACGTTTCTCCACCATACTGTGTTTCTAAAACTGCGAGCTTGTTTTCTGAAGCGAAAGGTATTTCCTTGCATGTTAGTGGTTTTGTCCACCAGCAACTCTAATCGATCACCTCTCTCTAAAACTTTGTCAATATTCTCTATCATAACGTTTCGCACCTATTAGAGTACAAGAAACAACATTAGACCATGGTCAAAAAAAAAAAAAAAAAGAGGAGTAAGTTGAATGCACTTAAGCAGAAAGGCCATAACTGCAGGTGACAATTTAATGTAGGGCTCCCCTTAAATGTAACATGTTAAATGGTATGTAATAGATCAAAATAGAAAATTTTTCTTCCATGTGATGCAAACAGCAAACTAATTCATCTTTAAAGTAGGTACAAGCTTATCCTTATGCATTCAAATAAACACGATAATGATTAGTAGGTAGAATATGAAAAGGACCATCAACGAGAATCTAGAAGAATTAGAATAATGGAATTGATAGCCTGATTCGAAGCATTCAAAACCTACCTGACTCATTTCACCTTTTAGTCGATTTAGCCTATCAGCATTAGGATCACTTGAGTAATATTCCATTTGCTGGCTCAAAACCCTTGAAAATTCATCGTTCATTCCATATGGAAGGGCTGAAAATACTGCTCGGCCGTAAGTCCTGACGAATCTCTGATGAATGTCTTGAAGAAATGCAAAAGGAATTCGCCCTGCAAAAGATAAAATAAACACATCAACTATGACCAAAAAAATTATCATCAGCAACATTTGGACAAAAGAGTTCTTAACAAAGAAGAGTTACACAAAGTACTAGCAAACCAAAAGGATATTCTAGCTTTAAATTCTCAGTTTGATTAATGAGAAATCAACAGATTGTTCTGAAGAACATAAATATTACCATCTCCAACTCATCCAACAAACTAAAATTGAAATTCCTTCAAAAGCAGAAGATGAGTGTTAATTTCTCAGAACATAGCATCTATGCTACCATTGCCGAAATGATATGATCATTGACCACCCCTCAAAAAAAAAAAAATCCCTTTTACCCTTTCCTATTCTAGAATTGAAATTGCACTTTTGAACTTTTAATCAAACCCTAGATTGCCAACCGAGCATAAAACTTCAACTTTTTTCTCAATCGCCTACTTTTATCTCTAATTTCCGAAACTAATCGACGATACATAACAAAGCATAGAAATGGCAACGAATCAAATATAAAACCACTTTCATGTAGAAAAAGAAAAGAAAAGAAAAGGAAAGGAAGAAAAGGAAACTTCTTTTTATAAAAATTGACATTTAAAAATTTAAATAAACAAAAAAAAAAAAGAATATCTGAGAGAGCTAATTGACCTACTTCCGGCACTTTCGTCGGCCATACAAAGAACGGTGAGTCCATCGGTGCGTTTGACGTGGAAGATGTATCGATCTTGTGATACGAAAATGTGAGTATCGTTGTCTCCCGGTATTTTCTCCAGAATTTGCCGGGCGATGGCGTTCGCGTTCGTCGACACCTCAGTGAACTCCGCAGGACCACCGATCACGCGCAACCAGCGCGTATAGTATCGCCATCGAAATTCTAAACCTCTTTCTAGATCACTTGTGTCTAAAAGACGGTAGCTTCTCTTTTTTTTTTTTATTTCTCTTTCTAACTTTGCAGCCGTAAATTTTGTTAATCAGCTGAGATTACAAAATAAAAAATAAAACTGTTAAAAAATATTACTACTAAAGGGTTTTAATTGAATTATAAAAGCAGGAAATTTTCAGCGGAAAGGTGAATCGAGGTAAGAATATGGTACAGGAAAAGAGAGGATAGGGAAAGAGGACTGATTGATTCGCCTTTTTT